CAGGGCAAGATATGACAAAATAACAATTTATAAATTATCAAGGACTCATGAGGGAGGAGGGAGCGGGGAGGGAGAGGAAAAATGAGGACCTAATGCCGGGGGTTTAAGTGGAGAGGAAATGGTTTGAGAATGATGAGGGCAACGAATATACAAAAGCGCTTTACACAATTGATGTGTGTATGGATTTTAATAACAGTTGTATGAACCCCTAATAAACTGATTTTTTTAAAAAAATTTTTTAAAGAATTGGAATTTCAGCAAATCAGTCTCCTCTGGGCATAATTGATTGCTCCACAGCAAAAGCTTGCCTGATTATAATGAAAAGTTTGGACAAAGAACGAAATTTATGAATTTGGCAAAAAAAATAAAATCTTGCCACAGACCAAATCCCATTCTTTCTCCCAGTTTTCTTTCTTTTGTTTCTAGAATGTTTGTATTTGTTTGTTTGTCTGTCAATGTACAAAAGATTCATTGTAACATAGACAACTAGATTTCCTCGCTGCTTAATTCCCAACCTTGTAGATTCTTTTAGATTTATGTAGTAAATGGGGAAGGAGTTGGGAGATACTTTTCAACACTGACTTCTTACTGATTGATTCTATATAAGTATTTAAGTATATCTTATATGAAAAATGTAGAAATCCATTTCTTTTAGGTAAGATTTTAAATGTAGATAAAAGAAAACTTACATTACTTGCAATTCATATGTTTGATTACATGTAAAAATTAAAATACATAACAACTTTGATATTTAAAACACTTTACTTCAGTAAAGTTACTAGATCAAAATAAAAGTCTAGTGAATTCCCAAAACCAAGTAATAAACACTAAGAACACGCAGGTTACTTTGATCTGTCCTCCCAATTCATGTATTTAGTCTAAAAAGTTGTCCTATACATGTATGCTTTACTTTTCTAAACAACAGTTGAATTCTACACTATTGGCTAAATTAATGATACACTCAGCAGAATTACCATATACTCCCTGAACGTAATTTATAACGCCTCTCAATAAGATGCTAATGATAGCTCTAAAATGGATGAGGGACATATATAAACCATAAATACATGAATGGATTTTGAGCTCACACTTAATCGTAGCCTTAATCTAAGAACCATTAGTTTTTATGACATGGTCCTACTTATTACCTGCCCTAATGAAGAGATCACTGAAGATATGGGTACTATAACAAAGCAGGGTGAAAAAATCAGATGTTGCCTGGCTATCCAAAAATATAGCACCTGCAGCCTTTAAAGGCATATCTGAAAGCAAGCAGCCATCTAAGTAAGGTGTCAGGCAAGCCTCTGTGACTCAAGGTTTATAAATAATAAAATCCAAGACGTGAAGAGAGAATAGTACTAGAGCTAAATTTCTGAGCATCCAGTTTTCAGAAGGCTATGGATGACAACAAAAATCGAAAAACCAGTTGCAAGGACCCTCATGTGGATTAAGCCACAGGAGAAACCCTACAACCATTGACAAGAGATGTGAAGAGTTGCTATCAGGTAGAGTACATTGGACAAAGAGTAATGCAAACGCAGTTAGGTTAAATTTTAACATTTTATCATGTGTGCTCACTTTTGACCCATTTTAATTTTGTTCTAGTTTTAATTAATTTCTAGTTTCTTTTTCATTGAGATTTTTCTCTTTTATTTTGCTAATGTTGTGGGGGTTGTTTCTGTCTATGTTTTATTGGAAATCCAGGATAGTAACTTTGTAGACAGTAACGGGATTGATAGTTTCTTAGGGTTATGGTAGAGGAGGTTTGGAGGAAATGGGGAGCTCATAATAATGAGTACAAGAAAGAAAAAAATCCTTTGAAATTGATTTTGGTGATAATTACACAACCCTTTTTGATATGTTTAAACCATTGAATCTTATGATATATGAATTGTATGTCAACAAAACTGTGAAAAAATTAAGAACATGTTTTAACAAGACTTTGAAAATAGGAACAAATACTAAAAGATGCCCCATAAGTGTAAGACATGGTTACATTTTAACAGTAAAATTATTCAACAACTTTATTATAAAATTACTCAACATGTTAGGAATAAGAACATCTAATATTGTGAAATTATCATTTTAACACAAAGTAATCAACTTCCCTGATCAATTCCAATCAAAATCCCAATAAAATTTTCTGGGAAATTATATAGGCTGGTTCTAAATTGTATATGCAAATACAAATGGATAGACAATATGCACTTGATAAAAAGAACCGGGCTGTAAGATCTGCATGAACAGATATCAAGAATATTATAAACTTGTACTTGAGATTAGGCGTCTAAGATACAACTATTGGGCTCTGCTGTTCTGGAGGGGAAAAACAGAAAAAGGACACTAAAAGAAGAAGCTAGTTGATAATGCCAACAACGCACACGGAGCAGAGTCTCGTGTGTC